ATATATCCTTTTTGTTTAAAAAGTAACTTATTTAAATTGTTATAAACAATAATAATTAACAAATAGATAACTTTGATTCATTTCCACTAAAAAAAGTTTTTTCACATTTTCTTTTTAATTTAATTTCATCCTTTACAAGAATATATGTCCTTTTTGTTTAAAAAGTCACTTATTTAAATTGTGAAAAACAATATTAATTAACAAATAGATAAATTTGATTCCTTTCCACTAAAAAAGGTTTTACTTACACATTTTCTTTTTAATTTTAATACAAGTTCAATACAAGAATATATGTCCTTTTTGTTTAAAAGGTAACTTCTTTAAATTGTTATAAACAATATCAATTAACAAATAGATAACTTTGATTTTTCTTTACTAAAAAAGGTTTTATTTACACGTTTTCTTTTTAATTTATTTAAATTCAATTCAAGAATATATGTCCTTTTTGTTTAAAAAGTAATTTGCTTAAATTGTTATAAACAATATTAATTAACAATTAGTTAACTTCGATTCATCTTCACTAAAAAATGTTTTTTTTCACGATTAATTTTTTATTTACGTTCATTTAAAGAATATATGTTCTCCTTGTTTAAAAAATAACTTATTTACACTACCGTCCGTGTGTATCAGGACGCCCCTTTTGTCATGAGTGTAAAAATGCTTAAAACGTAGAAAATAAGGATGACAAAAATTTTTCGTATTTTTTTCCTGAAAACTAATGAAATTATGAAAAGACTGACACCTGATCGAAGAATTTTCGTTGACTATTGTGTCAGATACAGAAAAAATACTGGATTTTGCATGCTTTTCGTAATTTTTTAATTTCTCGAAAACTAATTAACTTTTATTAGCGCTCTTGGTCTTTTTTTAATATTTATTTAATGTAGAATCTAAATTATTAACTGGTATTGTGAAATAAATTTTTCCAAAAAAATTTGAAACCGTAAAAGTAGGATTAAAAAAATTCAAAAAAATATCATGAATATTAAAGTGTCAAAAAGGTCAATGTAAAATATGTTCATTTAATAGATATAATAAAATTCAAAAAAGCTTGTTAATTACTTAATTATTTAATCAATAAAAAATTTTTTTGTTGAAAAAGTGTCAATCTGTTTTTCAAAATTTTTTTATCCGACTTTTACAGTTTCAAATTTTTTTGGAAAAATTTATATTTTATTTTTTTTTATTTATTTGTTTATACACCCGTCTTAAGCCTGCAATCTTGGCTATACAAGTGTTTTTACAACCGTATAACATTCCTTACAAACATTTCTTAATACTAAATTTTTGCGCCTACAGAGCGACTTGAAAATTAGGAGTACTCGCATTTGCCTGGACCACCCGTCTAATGGGTTTTCTCGCCAGTGGAGAGGGAAACTGTAGAAAACCTCTCCGAGTACAACCGGTTTATCGACAGTCGAATTCTAAAGGAGAGTCCTGAATAGAGTCGACGTCGGTATGAACGCGCTGATACTAACGCGCTCCTCCTATGTATTCCATATGGACGAGAGATTTAAATACAAGAATTTTGGAATATTTTAAACTTAACCAACGAGATAGTAATGCTCAAAAGTATTATTATTCAGATATACCAGAGCATTATACATGGGTAACAAAATCTCTTGAATGGAAACAAATAATTCGTAAAGTAAAAGTATAGGGAAGAATGTATTCAGTTAATCCACATCAATTGGAGTTATTTCATCTTAGATTATTGTTGCTTACAGTAAAAGGAGCAACTTTTTTGAAAGTTTGAGAACAGTTAATGCAGTTGTTCATGAATCTTTTACAACTGCTTGTTTGGCATTAGGACTTTAAGAAGATGATAGTGAGTGGGTTAGGACAATCGAAGAAGCTGCATTATGGATGATGCCTCATTCACTTCGCCAATTATTCACAAGAATTTTAATTCATTGTCATCCTGTACATCCGGATAAACTATATATGGGAACAATTTAAGAGTCAAATGTCAGAAGATTATTAAAAAATAAACGACATTGTAGCTAAACAAAGGGCTTGTAGAAATATTAAAACAATGTTATTTAATGAAGGATATAATTGAACCTTCTTTCAGGGGTTATTAGATATACAAGATAAAATTTTTACTGAACAAGTTAATGATATAAATATTGCAGAACATATTTACATAGGAGAACAGAATTATGCTAAATTAAATGTAAAACAAAAACTTTTTGTTGATTATGTACTTGATGCCCTAAAGGATTCCTCTTTTGATGGTTCTATGGCAATTGTTAAGAAATAAAGGAATAAATGTTTGCAACATGGCATTTACAGGTATAGCTGCGACTCTGCTTCCTAATGGAAAAACTGTTCATAAAGTTTTAGGCTTACCCGTTCCATTATACAGTGATTCATTTTCAAACATTAAAGTTTAATCTTTAGAAGGCCTCTTTTTAAAAAAATATAGATGTTTTTATTTGGGATGAAGCACCAATATCTCCAAAATATGCTTTAGAAATTATGGATTATCTATTCCAACGAACCTTTTAGTGGTAAAATTGTAATTTTAGGCGGAGATTTTCGACAAACTTTACCAATTAAAGAACGAGGTACTAAATCAGAAATAGTAAATTTATCAATAAAAAATAGTAAACTATAGAAATATTTCAAAAAATACACATTAACAGATAATATGAGATCTTTACCACAAGAAACGGAATTTGTAGATTGTTTACTTAAAGTTGTCAATGGTGAATTAAATGATGCAGATGATAATGTTATATTACCAGAACATATTATTCAAAAAGGGAATAGATAGGGGAATGTAAGGTATCGTGGCATGTAAGGTATGGTGCGGAGTTGTCAAATCTGGCATGTAACGTCACATCTAAAGCGCCTTATCACTATGGTCGATGTCTTTTATCGTGATGACATTTTATATGCAGTAGTATTAATGATCAAACGCGTGCTTTGTACTATAAGTGATTTTGAATTAAAAAGTAGTGAAAAAAAATAAAAAGTTTTATTGGATATGTGTGTTAACAGTGAAAGAGTGAAGATTTTTTGAAAATTAAGTCAGGTAAATGTATGGAACGTATTGCTTAGACCTTGGACAACAGTTTTTTGTATTTTACATTTTTTTCAATTCGCGCTGTATAAAAGTAACACCATCATATTTTCATCAATAGCTTGTAAGGTATGATGGCGCAATTTTTGTAACGTACAGTGGCTTTTATTAGCTTTCAGCAAAAAAATACGAAAAATTTTTGTTAAGCATTTTTCCACTCATGAAAAAAGGGGCGTCCTGATACTCACGGACGGTAGTGTATATTGTTATAAACATTATTAATTAACAAATAGTTAACTTTTGTTCCTCTCCACCAAAGAAATATTTTAAAGTCACAGCCTATTTAAAATAAGTATTTATACTTACATTTTTATATATTTTAAATGAGCCTAAATAAAAAAGTAATCGTAAAAAAATTTTTGATGAAAAGGAACAAAAGTTATCTATTTACTAATTAATAGTGTTTATAACTATTTAAAAAAGTTATTTATTAAACAAGAAGAGGACATATATTCTTGTAATGAACTTAAATTAAAAAGAGAATGTTGAAAAAGCATTTTTAGTGGAAATGAATCAAAGTTAACTGTTTGTTAATTAATATTGTTTATAGCAATTTAAATAATTTACTTTTTAAACAAAAGGGACCTATATTCTTTAAATAAACTTAAATTAAAAATAAATTGTGAAAAAAATCATTTTTTAGTAGAGAAATTTTTTTTTAGAAATTTTACAGGAGACTCAAAAAACTGTTCATTTAAAATGGGAATAATTTAAAGACTCCAGCTTGTTTTCGTATAATTGTCTAAATTTTCTTCTGTCATTGTGGAATAAATTTTCTATTAAAAACCGAGATTATAGTTCGATGTCGATCGATATTTCAGTACGATACGATATATAAAAAAACAAATGAATGAACGATATTTACTTTTTTAACATTTTTTGAAAACGATCAATATGAAGTAAGATAATTGAAAATCTCTTATCGTTATGCATCACTAAACAAGAGGCAACTTTGCTTTTTTAGGCATAGACCTACCCAGATAAAAATTAAAAGTGCAATTATTATTTAGACAATTTTTAAACAAATTGACCTATTTTTGAACCTAATTCAATAATAAATTTCGAAATTATTGGTATTTTAAAAACCAAAAATTGTGAAAAATGACATTTTCTCAACTTTTTTTTTGAAAATTTTTGTTTAACTATTAAACTATTATAACTATATTGTAGAGTATTTAAAAATACATTGATTGACCCAAGATTCAATCACTTTTACCATATTTATAAAAAGTTATTCATATATTTTCCTATTATTATTATTATCTCTATGTGGAAGTAAAGTGTTCATGAAATAAGCTCCAAAATTATAAAAAAATATACAACTTGGCAGCGGTTTTAGTATACTATTCTGTAAATAGTTAGTAATTAACAATAATAATTTCTTTAAATCTTGCTTAAATAATAATAATTATGTTTTAAATCTGCATCGGTATTTATATAATGGTCCGGTAAATTGCAAAATTAGAGAAAAATACACCTCTCTAGGTACAATATGTAAAAAGTTAGTAATTAACAATAATAATAAGTTTAAACAAATAAATTTTATAAAATGCACAGTATTCTTACAAATTTATAGTCTGTCATTTTCCAAAAAGAAAAATTGAATTCGGTTAAAATTTACGAATTAGGGGAGAGTCTACATTGAACCAGTGTCAACAGTGAACTACTTCAATTGTATTTCGCTGTCTCGTCCTCCTAGATCATTACGTGTAGTACCGCTGTACTGAACGTTCCATCACAGTAATTTTAAAAAACCAAGGTTTTTTGGCGCCCTCATAGGTGTCGCCCTGCTCTCTTCCTTATTTCAGTCCCTACGCGTCTCTATAATTCTCGTCATTACGTTGTTCTGTGCGTTCCACGACATATCGTGAAACTACAAAATTGTGAAATTTGTGAAAATAGAATTCGAAAAATGTCATCATCGTCAAAAATCAGTTCATCTGAAGAAGAAGAGCAACGGGGGAGCAAGAAGAGCAGATATTCATCGAGACGGAAGCTTGAGGAGAAGCCTAAAAAGTTGGAAAAGGAGGTTAGGAAATCAAAGAGCACGTGGCGCTCACATAAGAGAAGGATATCGAGTTCACCTTCGACATCTGATTCTCACATCGAACACCCAGGTAAAATTCGTGATCGGAATAGACGTGGTCGTAGTCGACAAAGATTTTCTGTATCGAAACATGCTGGAAGGCGAAGCCTAGAGCGTTCTCCGCGAGAAACGTCTGGCTCAAGCCGCGAAGCAATGGAAAGCGCAGAGCGTCACCCGAGAGGTACGTCGCGTTATTCTCGAAGCCGCTCTAGGTCCAGGAGTCAGTTATAAATTAGAGGAAATCAAGATGGCTCCCGAGACGTAATCACAAGGAAAAATCAAGATAAGGTTGGCGAGGCTGAAAAATCTCCGACGGAAAATAATGATGCGATCTCCTAAAGCTGCTGTTAGAGGGCGTCAAAGGGGCCGGCGGAAATAATGGTAAGTCAAACCGCAGGTAGAATAAAATTTTTTTCTAAGAAATGGAATGAAATAAGTAATGATTCCTTCATAGTGAATAGTGTCACTGGGTACGAGATACCTTTTCATAACTTACCTTATCAGTTCTCAGAACCACCCGAACCTCTATTAACACCCGAAGATGAGTCAAGAATGCTAAAAGCAATTCTTAACCTCAAAAACATTGGTGCCGTTGTATGTTGCCCCTCTTGCGAAAGACAATTTCTGTCGTCTTATTTTTTAAGGCCAAAGGCAAGTGGGGAGGACCGATTCATCCTCAACCTGAAAAAGTTTAACAAATTTATATTAACCTCTCATTTCAAGATTGAGGATATGAAAACAGCAATTTGTCCTCTCAATAGGAATTATTTCATGGGTGTCATTGACCTTAAAGACGCCTATCTAATGGTTCCCGCCGCCCAAAAACATAGGAAATTCCTCCGTTTTTTCTTTAATAATGAATTTTACGAGTTTCAGTGTTTACCATTTGGCCTAAGCACAGCGCCATTCGTTTTCACCAAGCTGCTTAAACCTGTCGCTCAAAAAGTTCGAAGTTCAGGTATTTTAATGGTCATATACTTGGATGATATTTTGATCTTAGCCAAATCAGAGGACGAATGCCGAACAAACATTCTAAAAACACGGTCGTTATTAGAATCTCTCGGTTTCCTGGTGAGTAACGAAAAAAGCCAACTCGAACCTTCACAGCGATGTGTATTCTTGGGATTCATCCTGGACAGCAAGGCATTTCGAATAGAGTTGACTGAGACGAAACGAAATTCCATTTACCAACGCGTGCTAAGGTTCCTTCGAGACAAAAAATGCAGCATCCAAGAGCTAGCCCAATTTATTGGTACGCTAGTTTCTGCTTGTCCGACGATCAGATATGGATGGTTATATACCAAAAGATTGGAAAGAGAAAAATTTTTAGGTCTACGAAGATTCAACAATAATTATAAAGCAAAAATCACGCTGTCAAGTTTGGTTCAGCCAGATTTGGAATGGTGGGAAAAAAAGATCCAAACTTCATCCAATGCGATCAGGGAACATAAATACAAAAGAGAAGTATTCACAGACGCATCCCTGACAGGCTGGGGAGCTGGCGAGAAAGCGAATGGTCTGTGGAATCAAGAAGAACGCAGTCTTCACATAAACGAGCTGGAACTCATAGCTGCGTTTTTGGGTCTCAAACGTTTTATTAAAAACGACAGGAATTGTGAAATTCTACTTCGAATGGACAACACAACGTCTATAGCTTATATTAATAGGATGGGGGGAATCCAACACCCACATTTGACACAAGTCGCGCGCCAGATATGGCACTGGTGTGAGGAGCGCGACTTGTGGTTTCTTGCGTCTTATCTACCTTCGAGGGACAACAAAGAAGCAGACGAGGGATCACGGCTCTTACCGAAAGAAACTGAGTGGGAATTGGTTTCCTGGGCCTTCAAAAAAATCAATAAAACACTTGGACCATTCGAAGTAGACTTTTTTGCATCTAGAGTAAATGCGAAATGCAAAACCTATGTCTTATGGCATAGAGATACCGATTCCATAAAAATAGACGCGTTCACTATGAATTGGAAAAATTATTATTTCTATGCATTTCCTCCCTTTTCTGTCATTTTACAGACACTGACAAAGATTCAGAGGGACGGAGCGGAAGGAGTTGTTGTAGTTCCTCTGTGGCCTACACAACCATGGTATCCACTGTTCACGTCTTTGTCAGTATCAGAAATAATTCATTTTATGCCTCACAATAAATTACTTTCTTCTCCTCACAGGAAATCGCACCCGCTGAGTCACAGTCTTTCCCTGGTGGCAGCTCGGTTATAAGGGAGGCATTCAAATCGAGAGGAGCAACCGAGGAAGCCGCGGATATAATGTTCCAGTCCATTGCGGCGGGTACTCTGCGTCAATATAATAAGCCCATCAAATTATGGTGGAAACATTGTTCGAGAATAGGCGTAAATCCTTATAAAAGTTCGATTCCGGATGCACTTAACTTCTTCGCCAAAACCCTGGAAGGCATCAAATCATATAGTGTCATTAATACGTATAGAGCGGCAGTCTCTCTAATCACAGGCGGAGATGTTGGAAGCGACAATAGTATCTCGCGGTTTTTCAAAGGAGCTGCAGTGCTGCGACCTAGAAAATACAAATACGACGTCACATGGGATCCGAAACCTGTTTTGGATCAACTAGCCTCCTGGTATCCACACGAAGGCCTATCACTCGAGATATTAACAAAAAAGTTGGTGACACTGTTGGCCCTGATCACAGCGCAGAGGGTCCAAACATTAACAGCGATAAGAATCGAAAACATAAACGTAGAATCAGAACTGATTTGTATAAAAATAACACATCCAATAAAAACGTCAACTCGAAGTAAGTTTCACCCGATGTTGGAAATTCCACGCTTCTCAGAGAAACCCGAACTTTGCGCGGCATCATCATTATGTGCATATATTGAGAAAACGACTGCGTTACGAGAAGACGAAAATAAAGGAGAATTGTTTTTAACATTGTAACGTTGATTTAGAATAATCTCGTTATAAAAACCCAAATTGGGTCGGCCGAAACTTATCTGATTAATTCTCGATATATTATTATAGATTAAATACGGTAGCCAGAATCGAACTCAACATTTTATTCCATTATTGTGTCTTTGAATTGTATAGAATCGATATAATATTCAAATGTTGAGTTGTAAAAGAATCAAATTGTTTATTTGCAAGGGAATTCCTTACGTTCTGGTTGATTATAAAATACTAATTTATGTATTGTTATTTAATCATCAACCGACCGAAAAGGCATCAACAATTTATAATAATCGGCATAAATCTACTGTCAACCGGCAATCACCTGTCACAGACGTTGGGACTATTGTCATGCTGCAGGGGCGAACCCATATTGCGCATGACCTATATACGGGACCGATGCAGGAAGCCGAGTAACCTCTTTTCGACAGTTCGTGCCTGGCCCCCGATAGACTTTAACGGTGACTCCGCGGTTCAACCGAAAGTTCAGTAAAAATTAGAATATGGATTACCAGGCTTTGTTGGCCAGAATCAAAGGTTAGTGTCCAGTTTCCATCTTCCTCGTTGTTCTGGAGATAATACCGGTGTACGGTGTGACCGAGGAATAACGTTGAGACGAGCGACCGCATGGCAAGCCGATAGAACGTCGCCATTTTCAGTCGACCGACGAGTATCACCGGCGTGTGGAAGTTCTCATTCTCTCGCAAGTTTTATCTTGTTGAAAATAAAAGTGATTGATTTAATTTTTCATTGAATTTCTCAAGTCAAATTTATTTTATTTAAGTGTAAATTCATTGTGTCTGTCTCTCTCTTCTGTGTGCGGTACTCACGCCTGAGTTTTGTGATATATAAAGTCAACTTCGTAAAGATGAAATAGTGAGCTCGGTTTGAGCTAGTCCGTGAAAGTTCCTATTTTGTTTCTGCTATCGTGATCCGGGTAGTTCACCTACCTGGCGCCGGGGAAGTTCCCTAAAACGGATCATCGATGGTGTATTATAAATTCGGAGTGTGGAATTTATAATTCGGTAACCGGAAAACCGGTAGTTGCCATTTTTGTAACGATTAACGGGTAAAACCCGTAAGCAAAGGTAAATATCGTTACAACAGTGGCGCCCAACTCAAGGGCCGTGACAGGCGAGAGAGACGATAAACGAATTTTCAGTGTAATCGTGTAGTGAGAGAACTGAATGAGAGCCTTCACTGCTGGTGAGTAATTAAATTTTCTTTTCACTATAAAATTATTTCCTTTTTCGACCTGACAGGTGCTATTTATTTTTACTTCTGGGGAAAATTTATTTTTATAATAATTTTGTACATTGATGCTTTGAAAATTGTGTTTTTGTTGTATATTTTTTTCATCATGAAAGGAAATTTTTTTTAGTACCTGCAGTGTCCTCTACCACCTTCGAGAAGAGTAGAAAAATTTTCTTTTGTCATTAAAAATTGGTAAAAAGTAATTTGTAATATTGCCAAAATTATTTTTAAATTTAATTGAAAATTTAATTGGGTTTCTCAAAGACTGAGGTGAAGGAATAATTTAGTAATTAGATAAATTGTATAGAAAAGAATTTTCTCTCTCCCTTTTAACAAAAGAGAGATATAAAAGAAATAATTAAATAGCCACGAACCCAAGTAAAAGATAAATAATAATTTCTCAAATTATTTTCCCTTTTTTTAGACATTTGTAATAAAGGAGAAAATTACCAGAAATTTTTGGAAATTTAAGGAAACGTAAGAAATTTCTAAAAGCAGTTAGAGAAAATAGAACTAGATAATTACAGGTAATCCCGATTTCAAAAGGATTTTTTTTTCTTAGAAAATTTTTTTTATATTCAGAAAAATTACCCGGTAAGATTGGGAATTTAAGAAATTTTGAAATAATCCCCAGTCAGCTTTAAAATTTAGTGAATTGAAAAAGAAAAGATTTTTCAACCGACAGTAACTAAATTTAAAGGCAGAAAAATTACCTAAATTCGGAGGAAGTTTACCGGTAATTTACGAAATTTTGCAGTATTTCAGGCAAAGTGAGAAAATTTAGTTTTTGTTAAAGTGAGAAAGTTTCTTTATTGGCCCTAACTATATTTTCAAGCGGGAAATTTACATGAAATTTTGGGAAATTTATGAAAATTAAGAAATTAATTATTAATTCATGTTCAAATATAACAAAATTTACAGAAAATTACAGAAAACTTTTAGAGACCGAGTAATAAATAGCGGTAATTTCCGAACAATTTTTAGAAATTTCTCGGTAAGTTAGGAAATTTGAGAAATAAACCGATAATTTTTTTTTCTCTTCCAAAAACAGGTAAAATTGGTAGAGACACCAGAGAATAACTAAAAACTGAAGAGGAAATAACGGTAATTTTCGGAAATTTACAGGAATTTTGGAAATTTTCGGAAATTAATGGAAATTTTCGAAAGTTTATAGAAATTGAGGAAATTTTTGGAAATTGCAGAATTTCTTTTTGAATTTTATAGTAAATAAGAACAATAAAAGGTAAATACGGATAATTTACTAAAAATTTAAAATTAAAATATAACGAATTTCCCGGAATAAAGGTAATTTTTGGAAATTTATAGAAACTTTTCGGAAATTTTCGGGAACCTTAGGAAATTTGCAAATTTTACAGTAAATTAATAAAAGTAAAAATAAAGGCTGATAATTTACTAAAAATTAAAAAAATAACAACTTTCCCGGAAGAACGGAGTAGCGCGAGAATTACCAAAAATAAATAAAGAATTCGAGAATTATTTTTGTGGTTGATTATTTTTTTTTGATATTGTTCCTTGTGTCTCTTCCGTTCTCCCTCAATAAAATAAAAAGATGGCAGACCAAAAGGAAACAGATGTGCCCCAATCCGAACTAGGAACGACAGGAAGGGAATTAAATCAGACGACACATGATTCACGAGAATCAGAGATCCAAAGGGGGGAAATTGAGGAAAACGCGAGCAACTACGGTTTAATAGATGAACTTGCCGAAAAAGTCAAAGCGTTTTGAGGAAATGAAAAATCAACTCTATCAGAACGGTTGTAATACATCGGGTTCATTCGAAGAAGTACAATCGCGACATGAAAGGTTAGTTGCGCGGATGCGGGGTAACGTTGACATTCCGTGGTATGATAGCGACGAAGCGTTTACAATACCACCGACACAAATACCAATATCCACTCCCATTACACCGGGTTCAGCAAAATTCATACAATTACCGCAAACACCGGTGACCTCGGATTCCTCAAACACGTTTACGGATAATACTAACGGAATCGAAAGACGGTATAGACCACAAAATTTCCATAGTAACTTTCCCCCACCGAATTCAAACGCTAATGTCAACACGCGTCGCGGACACGCAGAAAATAGGGAAAACCAGACAGATAATGGAGTCAATGCTGAAATCCAAGAATTGCGTGAGTCAATACTCGCAATGCAACAACAAATGACAACGTTAATGTCGATAGTACAAAGACAGACAAAACAACCAGTCACAATAACAAGTACATGTCCCACATGTTACACAACGACAGCGGTAACAACACAATCCGAACCAGTATACCAGCCGGCTAATTACCGACACACACAGAATTATAGGTACGCCTGCACAGACAATAGAATCAACTCGACAGCGCCACCTATAATTCCAACCACGACGGTTAGTAATCCGGATCCGCGCTTCACAGGATTAAGTTGGAGCCAACACTTAGAGTGTATACCACCTCCATGAACCACAAATTACTATACAAATTACTATATGGTCTCATCCCCTCCACAACCATACGGACAAACGATAACGGAATCCGACAGACCGAGACAAGTTCCATACTATCCAACAAATAGTATGTTTCCCCAAACGAACCCAACCTTCGCGACAGCGGAAAGACATACCGTAGGCAGATATGACCAACAACAAAACACGACAGAAAATAGACAAAACACTCTCGACCCACATTACGTAAATAGACCGTCCAATCCTTTTTCGGAACAAAACAGACCGTGGGAACAGGAAAACATGTATTGGCAAAGACAGAGTAGCATGTATAAAATACCGAGAGATGTCGCGAGAACTGTCGAGAGTTGGAAGGTAAAGTTCAATGGGCAAAGAGGGTCAAGCGTAGACAATTTTTTGTGGCGGGTAGAAGAGGGAAGGGCCGCGTCATTCATGACAGTCGGGAAATTCCAGATGGAATAAGGAAAAGAATTCCCAATCGAACAAAAACGCGAGTAATTCGACTTCAAAAGACAACGCCGCGAAAAATTCGAACTCCCAATCGGACAACGAAGCGGAAAAAGAACCTAAAGAAGTCGAATGCTGGAACTGTCACGAACCGGCCACTTCCAAACAGGTTGCGCTAAAAAGCGTCGTAGTAATTATTGCAGACGGTGCGGTAAAGACGGCGTTACCACTAAAACCTGCAAAGGGTGTCCGGGAAACGCGAAAAAGAAGGAGCAGTAAAGGTTAACTCCTCCTTCTCAGAAGACATAGAAACCTCAACAAAAGTAATAGAATCAGCCGTGGAACAACCCGAACCCGTAATATTAAAAAATAACCGGAAATCCACGGAGAGCGTTAACAAAAAATCGAAAAAACGGAAAGCCACCCGACGGTATGAGGCCGACCAAACTGTTTTGTTAAACGACCGCGTTGAGAGTCACAATGGTACAGATCCATGGAAAAGTAACCAGGCAATCATGGCACTGTTAAAAGCGGATATAGAACCTAGGGTAGAATCCGAACAAAAACCGTTGCGCTTAGAAATTAGGGAACCGCCATCGGAAGACAAAGGCTTCAGTTTACGGGTATTCACGAATATAAGAATAAGCAATACCCCCAACGTGCAAGCCTTAATAGACAATGGTGCATCACGCACAGTGTTAGGCGATATCAGAATAGCAATCGCCGAAAGATATAAAGCAGATTTACAACCAGCAACCGAGAAAGCGGTCATGACGGCCGACGGCACGGTGCGTCCGGTAAAAGCCGTTTGTTACC